TAGCGCGTACAGCAGCAGCGCGATGACGAGGATGACAATGTGAAATGGGAGCGCGCCGCGTACACGCCATGAATGGGAGTAAGGACACACGATAATTATTTTTTATCACTGGATTTCATCAACAATTCGAAGGCCATCAACGAACCAACCAAACCACAATACGCATTTTTATGCATCAATCAATTTACTTTATTTCTTCATAGGTAATCAAAACCTCGAGGCATCACATCTCAGTTTAGCGAGTAATGCGCGCGCTCATTTCGCCTCAGCAGCTAAAACCCGAATTGTAATTGTTACAATTTGCCATCAATAGTGACATTTGAATCAAAGCTGCAAGGCAGTCAATTGTCAAAGACAATTTTTCAAAGGAAAACACACACGCGTATTCAAATGTGCAGAAGCGGAACAAATATGTAATGCCACAAATGTTGTTTATTACGTAAAAAACCGAAGCAGATTCCTTCGGTCGATATGCCCTTGAGCTAGCCCTAATTTGAACGTCGCTTCCTTTCAAAGTTCTCTAATTGCCTGCAAACCATCTAATTTCACATACACTATATATTGAAACATCGTAACATAAATGCAGCATCAACTACCGTGTTCTCGACACATACACTCTTCATTTGATTCTGCTGAAAACGGAAATGAAGATGTATCGACGACAAATTCAGACAAATTAAATGCATTGCTGCCGGCGAATTCATGAAATTGCTGACGTACGAAATTCATGTTAATTTGAAAAAATCGTCATTTCGTTTCATTTTCAATCAAAGTATCATTTTTTTTCACTTTGAATTGATTTTTTATTTCTTTCAATTTTTCAAAATTGAAGATGAATTTTCTGTGGTTTTTCAGTTTAATTTCTCTCTGAATTTGTTGCTTTACAATGTATCGACAATTTGAAAGATGTTGAAAGCAAAAAATGCATTCAACTTCGTTTGTTCTCAAAAATGTGTTCAACTAAAAAAAAGGTCGTGCTCAAAATAGTGTGCACTGGCATTTGAAGGTCTTTGCAAGCAGGTAAGCGAAATAATTGTGCGATGAGTGTTCGCATGTAGCCACACAGATCGCTGTGGGAGTCAGCAAATGAAGATCTCTTCTATTTTCTCCGGCTCTCTCCGGTTAAAAGTACCCAAATCTTATCGCATCGACAATATTTGATAACTTTGCGGTTTTTGGGCGCACATTTCTTTTCTAAATTCCTTTTCTCTTTGGTTTTGGTGAATTCTTCAATCCGATATGAGCTCAATTACACATTCTCAATAGTTCAGACAGTCCGAGCTAGTGTCCACAATAGCACAACTCATCCAGGTTAAAAGATGCAAGAACGTCTCGTTCAAAGTGAATTTCACTCTTTTTTGCTTTCCATGTATTCGTTCTTCCAGAAAAAGAGGCCCTCAAACGCATTATGTAATTTCACCGATATGTTCACAGATTAAACATATGCATTGATTAAGCGAAAACAAAAACGGCATGTAAAAAGCGAAGAGATGAATTTACCTCCATGTAAAATTGGTTGAGTGGAAAAAGGCGTGTGTGTGTGTGACCAAAGTGACCGGAACGAAGCGAGAAGAAGAAAGGCCTAACGCCGAACGATTATGTCCTTGTCCACAACAGATAACGGTACAAAGAATGTGAATTTTTATATGCGTATACACAGGTCAATGCCAATGCCTGCACGAACATATTCTGATCGAAGGATATATATGTATTTATTTAGGCGACGGTCGACCGAACATCGGCTTATCATCATAAATTGTCTCTTTATTAAATTGTGAATTGTATTGTGTCGTGTGGCACAGGTGAGTCACAGAGAGTGATTTAGTGTGTTGTGCGTTTATTTTACGGCACTTTGAATTCGTCGCCATCATCTTCGGCTGATATAATTAAACATCATTTACATTTTCTGGCACAATTAACAGCAGAAGAAAATAACTTCATACATATAGGAAATAGTATGATCGTGAATGAGACGACAGAAAAAAACACGTATCGAATCCAAAACGCCATGCTAAACTGAAACAAAAGTAAACGAATCGAAAATGAAAACAAGAGCACACACCAAAGGAACCAGTTCGAACTGTACGAAACAGCAGCTGCGGAAATTAAGAATATTTTAAACTTTTATTAATAATAATCGCGTTCGAGTGTACGTTTTTTGAGTACAAACGTGTGTTTACTTTCAAGCCAATGCGTGCATATATGCAAAAAAGACATGGTGATGGATGTTATAAACTCGTGTTATCACCGCATCCTAACGAAGAAGCGAAAAAAAAAAACAACGGATCTCTGTGCTGAACAAAAGCACTCGTTGCGAGAAAGAGTGAGAGAAAAGAAGAAGAAGAAGAAACAACGAACGAGAAAAGTAATGAGCAATGAGAAAAATAACAATAATAAGATCAACGCTGGCTGAATCCATCGATCGAAATTCAGAGGCTGAAATCAACGCATTTAACGTCACGCATCTTCGATCCGGCCACTGTCTCGCCTTTACGTGCACTTCGTTAGCAATTGATTTTCGATTATTCGTTTCTGTGTGCGCGTGATCGTGTGTATGTGTGTGTGCAATGGATCAATTTTCGTATGCCTTTTGCACCAATTATATGGCTCATAATAATATGATATGTCACCCATGTGCATTGTGCATCCGAATTTATGTCTTGCTCGTTTACATTCCGAAGCGTATGCTGTCGCATCTCCGATTTCAATAAAAATTCATTTGCAAATTGTACGCGCCAAACTGAAACTGGACAACGACCAGCGACAACAACAACAACAACAACAAAAAGAGAAACTTTTTTCCGTTTTTCCGATTTCGTACGTTTTCACCCAAACGAATACAACGAACCAAACAACGCGTACACATAAATTACATATTCGACGCTGGCCAATGCTGATTTAATAAGTATGCATCGAGCGTTGGATTGCTCCTAATTTATGATAAATATACTCAAATGCCTATCATAATATTACGTTTCGATGCATTTTACTGTTGCACCAACAAACGACCAAACGGTAACTCGGTGCAACACACGTACAATGTTGCAGAGCGCAAGCGTTTCGCTTCAAATTTATTTATCAATTCAATTAAATTTTTTGCCTCCCTTTGCTCGTGTTTGAAATATTTTTGCTTTGACACGTCAATGAGTGAGCAAGAACATAGCAAACGGCACATTGAGTGAGTGTGTGCAATGGACATGTATGTGATGCGCACTCGATACGCTCAATTATTGACATTTTGCCGAAAAGAGTGCTGTTCTTTCTTCTGCACAGCAAATCTACGATTACCGGAACGAATTCATCTTTTCTCATGAACAAACGCACGTTTTGACCGAATGAAGAGTGGAAAATTTCTTTGAAGCTTCTTTATTTGCCATTTTTCTTCAAATCAATTCGTTTGCATACTTCAGGTCGTTGTGTGTGGTACACAAAATCATAGAAGACCTCCTGGACTGATGTGACGGAATTAATTTTAATTAAATTGGTCGTTTGAAAAACTCATGACTGTTTTTTATTGTACTAATTTCAGATTGTTTTTCATGTGAAATTTCTAACTGCAAATATTGGTGCTCATCGAATTGTTGTGATGAATTTTGATTATGTTCATCATGAAGCAATTTTTAATATTGATTGGTACCTATGAAGATTATTGGTACTTAAATGTTCTGAAAATTAAGATTCGGTAATAAATTTTTTTCATGCATATATAAGCGGGTTATGCACACGCGCCTGCTGTCGCCGGATGTTTTACTAGAATGCTTTACATTTTTTAATTATATGCCAATTTTTGCATAGGTAATCAAATTTATGCGCCTGTTACTCGATTGTGACTGCTGTCACGTAGTACTTTAGTCGAGGTGATACGCACTGAGTACACAAATTTTCGATTACAACATAATTGTTGTTTTATTAGCTAATTTTAATGTGTGTTTTTTAAAATATGTTTTTACTAGCAGATTGTAAAATCTATGACAATTACACTCATTTATATTTGCGGTTTGAAATCAACAATAAAACATTTATTATCCTATAATAAGTTCAACATTTAATTTCAATGAACAATTTTCATTACTCCCAAAAAATCAACCTCAAATGTTAGTTTTCCAGAATTTATTCGAAAATTCATTGATTTCATAAAATCATAAAATAAATTTAAATAGAAAATGAAATTGATAAAACAATCACTGGCAAAAGTTTTTTTAATTTTCACTGAAACAGATGAAATTTCATTTCGTCAATCGACTGAGTATCAATGGGATGTGTGCATTTTAGGAGTAATGAAAATTGTTCATTGAAATTAAATGTTGAACTTATTATAGGATAATAAATGTTTTATTGTTGATTTCAAACCGCAAATATAAATGAGTGTAATTGTCATAGATTTTACAATCTGCTAGTAAAAAAATATTTTCAAAAACACAAATTAAAACTAGCTAATAAAACAACAATTATGTTGTAATCGAAAATTTGTGTACTCAGTGCGTATCACCAGCCTCTCTGATCGTCTGTACAAATAGATAGGAAACGTCAAACAAGAACAATAAAGCGGCACCTGGCGATTGGTTGGAGAAATAGAGAATCATGCACATAGTTTGCTGTAACAAGTATGCGTCTGTGTTAGTTCAAACGTTGTAACAAGTATGCATTTGTGTTAGTTCAAACGTTGAAAGTATGACACATTGCACTTAGTCCCCAGGTGCCGCTGTATTGTTTACTATTTTCATGATCAGAAAGGCTGCGTAGCACCTCGACTAAAGTACTACGTGACAGCAGTCACAATCGAGTAACAGGCGCGTAAATTTGATTACCGTGCGCAGGTATGCTTGCATATCTACAAGATTTAATTGGATAATGCATCTTAAGCCGTTTATGTTTTTATCATTATTTCATGAGTGTTTAGTGATATCGAAATAACTTGTTTTTTTTTCCACTACTAAACGAATAATCAGCAGCATATTTAACTGGCCTCGGATCATTAGCAGATCAGTTTGCGTTGGACAATGAGAGGAGAACATTCGGAAAAAATCATGTTGAAGTCAATTGTGGTGCTGCTGAGTATTTCAGCGTTTTCGTTCGCTGATGATTGCAGACCATCGGCGACAACAGCTAGCGGTTGGGCGGCGCCCGAGAAAATTTGTGCAGGCCAAGTGATTTTCAAAGAAAATTTCGACACGTTGGATAAAAATAAGTGGAAACCAGAAGTAACGCTTGGAGGTGGCGGTGTAAGTAAATCATTAGAACAAAACTAAGCGTGGTCGTTTTTAGATACTTTACGCCTCTGTGTTTCTCATAACAGAATGGAGAGTTCCAATGGTATGATGTTGATAATGAAAACAGTTTTGCAAAAGATGGAAAATTACACATAAAGCCCACGCTAACGGCAGATAAAATTGGCCAAGATGCAGTCGAACATGGTCACGTTAGCTTGAACGGTTGCACAGATCAAGACAAAGCGAATTGTGAGCGTCAAGCTGGCGGAAACACAATTATTAATCCAGTGAAAAGTGCTCGTTTGAGAACCCACGAATCATTCTCTTTCAAATATGGACATGTCGAGGTGGTGGCAAAAACACCCCAAGCTGACTGGCTTTGGCCTGCGATCTGGCTTCTGCCCACTCAATGGAAATATGGAGGGTGGCCGCGAAGCGGTGAAATTGACTTGTTGGAGTCGCGTGGAAATGAAAAATATGGAAATGGATCGCAAATTGGTGTCGAACTGGTGTTTTCAACGCTTCATTTCGGACCGAAACGGGACCAAGGTAGGATTGACATATTCTTTTGTTACAATTAATTTTTGTATTCAGCATTCAGCAGCTGCATTCAGCTGATGGATTACTTTCAATTACTTAATTACAACATATTATTTCATCCATCAAGACCATTGGCAAACAGCGCATTACGAAAGAAATAATCCAGCTGGTTACGACAAGGATTTCCATACATACGGCTTTACTTGGGATCAGCAAGGGATCCAATTTTTTTTAGATGGAACTGAGCTTGGATTTGCAAAAGTGGATGAGGGATTTTGGAAACGTGGTGGTTTCCAGGGTCAAGATATTTGGGCACAAGGGACAAAAATGGCTCCATTTGATGAAGAAGTGTGTGAAAATTGTTCTTGGTATTTTGTTTCAACAATTGAATTTGATCGTTCTTTCTTCGTTTGTAGTTCCATTTCATCATAAATTTGGCAGTTGGCGCAAACAATGGCTATTTCCCTGATGATTTGGCGAACAAAAACGGACCAAAACCATGGCGTAATGGGTCACCGACAGCAATGAAAGACTTCTGGTCACAACGGAACCAATGGCAAAAGTCTTGGGACTCGGGCGACAAATCGTCGCTAATTGTGGAATCTGTTAAAGTCACGGCTCTCTGATCACAACATTCGAGGCGATGACATCACACAATTGATATGAATTACGAAAGTCATGTCGTAAATATGAAATTCAAGTGTAGGTATCTTTTGAAGTAAACATCAGTTATTTGTGAAATTTTTTTATGTTTTTACATGCCTAATAATAAAAATATTGATGAACTTACAAATTTTACCTTGTTTTCAAAATATAACAGATAAGATAAAACGTCCACGCTGAAATTCATTTATTTCTTCCTCATGTGCATGACTATTTATAAGTTTATTGTTGCAAAGATTTGATGAACATTTTTTCGCCAAATCCAAATAAATAAACATTAATTATGTTGAACATACTCGATTAATACAATCTTCTAAACAATATAAAATGTGTGATAGCAACCATTTGAAGGCTCAGTAGAAACCCAGAATCAGTCGTGATCAGTGTACGTTCTTTGGTTCTGCATTGGGCAAATGTGCTCTCGAGTGCATAAACGTTTTTGGTTATAAAATTTGTATTCCACAGTTAAATGACCATGTCATAGAAACCGTGCTCTTCTCACATTGCGGTAACGACAATTGACCAACTGCTTCACTCTCAAAAGCCAATCAATTGATATTCCTTCACAAATACTCAATTGCCGACGTATTCCATTTCAAAAATCTAAATCCATTCTTTCATCAGAAATGGCAGATGTGTATCATTGGAATGAATCGAACAACCTATGATCCATATGAAAAATGGGAAAAAGAGTTAAAATGGTTTGTTATGGTAAAACCAGATGGAATGAGATAAAAATATGAAATTTTGAGGCAGAAAAATGGGTTCAAATATACATTTTAGTTAAGCATCGTTTATCAAACTGTATTTCGACCAATTCACGTCACTTAACTTCCATCTTACTACACAATATTTCCTAGATTTTTTTGTTTGTAGAACAGTGTCATGTTCCACCTTGACAGTTGGTTACTGTTCCTCTAGTTTTTTTCTCGGTCTAAAGCAAATCAAAACACCTTTTCGATGCGCACGCTCGTTTATTTGCACACCCAAAGTGGCAAAAGTAAAAAGGTTGAAAGGTGAATGGCGAACAAAAACAAAGTAACAAAACAAACGATCTTCAGGCCGTAAATGCAATCATCAAAGCGACACAGCACAGTAGTAAGATGGCAATCCTTTTTGTGTGGTTGCGGAGAGAGGAAAAAAGAGGTAGGATTTTGTGAAACGGAAATTTAGAGATGAAATATCATAAAGAAAACAGCAACAACAACAGCACACATGATGCATGAATATCAATTGAACGAGTGTTTTTTTTTCGAAAGGTGGAAAAAGTGCGTACTAAAAGTGCTGGTTATGTTATGCCTCAATTTTGTACAGATGCTTATTTTTAATGGCCATACAATGATATCGGTTTTATTCAAAAACTAAACATGATATTGGCGTTTTTATTTCATCTTTTTTTTCGATTGTGGCTCAACCGTTTCGTCTGTCTCGCATTTTGCTGCAGCACAACATGCACACGCAGCAGAATTATTATTATTGATGATCCCAAAGCCGAAATGTTTTTACAATATGCTGACGAGAAACCATCAACGATTAAATCGGTCTCGAAATGTGAGTTTTGCGATTCAAGGCGATTTGGATTAATAAAAATTGGTGGCGAACAACCGATAATTAAAAGCGATTTATAGACTTTTTCCTTGATTTATGTTCCGCTCAGCGAACTTAAAACATGTCGATGGACGAAATTATAAATTAATTGCATGCGCGCAATATTTTTCGGTTATCTGAAAATCCAGTTTGTCTTTCATGCCATTAATAGTTAAAACTTTGTTTCCCAAGGTGAGATCAGTCAACACTTTGTGGTTAATTGTGAGCAAGTAAAAACGCCGGTAATTTTTTCCACGAATTTGCATCGAATTTATGGCGATCGTGGCGATTGCTCGCTTCGGTTTTGTTGGTGTGATAAATTCATTTCCCAAAGTGAATAATAATTGAGACTTCAAAGTATCGCTTGAAATGAATTGTTTCATGACGTCGTCATAAAACCGTAACATACGTTCACCAGCCCAGTGGAACCGAACAAAAAACATTGCATTGAATTAGCCCGTTGGCAAATCGTTGTCTTTTAATTCGAATGAAATTTATTTGATTTGTTTGCTCATGCCAAAAGCCGCTGCCGGCATCACGCCACAGATAATCCTCTTTTTTTGCCATCCGAACAACAATTCGAATTTGAATTTACAAAACAACAACGATCAAACAAACAACAACACCACGTCGCTGCAAAATGATATTAATCCAGCCCGAAAACGATCTTTAATTTTTTTTTTATTGCCTCGGAATTAAATCATTTTTCATTATTTAAATAAGATATAAAGTGCATAAAACGGCACACGGAAAAGCCACAAACAACACCATTTATAATTCACACACACACACACACACACGCAGCCATATGATATCGAAGCCAATGATACGGCTGAAATGCCCCATAAATTGTATGCAAAATTAATATGTTTGCATTGATCACGACCGCGTGATTGCTTTCTTATTTAATTTAAAGCGTAGCGTACGGTCGCCCAGACAACAAACGTAACAGTAATTGAACATTAAATAATGTGCATGTGCATGATCCACACTCTCATGAGGATCGACGCGATCGCAGCGATATTCCACGTGGTTTCAAGGTAAATAATAAAATCAAAATTAAAGACTTTATTAGTTTTTCGATGGAGAAGAGTGCGCGCGCGTACGCTTGACGGTACGCGCGCACCGATTCAAACGTGCGAAATGGTACACAACCGAAGAGAGATTGGGCGATTTGAAAGACCATGCGATGCGCGCGCGCGCTCATCAAAAAGCAAATATTGCAATGCAAAAAGAACAGAAAACGTGACCGGTACACGTATGGAAAATGCACGAAACCAAACCGAAAAGTGATAAACACATTTTGATGCTGTGTGCCCTAAAGACAATTTATACTCTTTTTATGCGCAACTTTGATCACCCAAAAAAATCTGTTTTTATCATCATGGCCTTTTTTGTACGCTTCTTCGCTTTTCGGTTGGACATTCATTTTGGTGGGAATTTTTCTACTGATCTCGCGATCTTCGTCAAGACATTGATGTGGTTAGGCAAGGGCCTTCTTCAGAGTGTTTTTTTTTCTAGAAGGTGGATAAGCATAAGAAAAAATGGTTTTATCAATAAATATTGTTTTCTTTATCTATAGTTGTTAGCTGTCGAATCATAACTATTTTCAGAATCCCGAGGATTTTGTGGATTGACTAATTTTGGACACACATTCGACTAAAAAAAAACCATTATCGATACAGTCTCTTCAGAAAAAATTAATGCTTTTTTTCTTTTCAAGAAGTCAAGAGCGTTCGTCACATTTGCTATTTAATGACTTTTAACATTCGAATGATGTTTGACATGAAAAATTACACAATTCCAATCTTACCTACTGCAAAGTATCTGTTCCATTCAGTGGCACAAAAGAGTCATTTGATGGTGTTTAATTTGCAATTTCTTCAATTGTTCGAGTATTTTCCACTTTTTCAAGAAGCATCACTTTCCATGAATGGTGTATCAAACCGATTATACCTTTTGTTAATGAACAGGCGCCACAAATGCTGGCCGAGTCTAGCGACCAGTCAATTGGATCTGTATTTCTAAGAAGTTAATTCAATGTGTTTGGCCGATGACAAAACCGAAATTGACCATTTTGGCTCGAGGCGGATTTGGCAGTAAATGTGCTAAAAATCTGGTCTCGTCTTCTGTGGCTCTGAACCGTGAACACAATTAATATCAGCAGCACAAAGGTGTTCATTGTTTATTCGAGATAATGTCTCGTGCACAAAGGATCATCTAATTCGTATTAAATGGATTTTCCGTAGATGGCCATTTCGGTTTCTTGCTTCTGTCACTCTTTTTTCGACTTCTCTAAGTCAACTGCAAGACAATAGCGTGCACATGTGGATTCATTATCGATTTGAAATAAAAAGCAGAGCATGCCGAAAGCCATTATTCGTTCAACAAATAAATAATAATTAGGAGGACACTGCTTTTTAATAGATTTCGTTTGAGATGAAGAAGAAAATAAATAGGAAAAGTCAAAGCCAAAAACAAGATGCTTCTTGTTACAAGGAACCAACGGAGAGCAAACAATGGATCGAACGCCACTTTTAGCAGTTCCTCTTCGTTCGTGAGGCGTTTGCCGAATAGAGCAAAACAAATAAAAGTCAATTTTTTCTCCTCTTCATCTTCTTCTTCATCTCAAAATATGAAAAAAAAAAGGCAAGTAAAAAAAGATTCATGTGCTTAACGTCACTTCTTTTTATCTTTCGAATTGAGCATTGTCTTTCTCATTGCATAGAGACTTTCACGCCTTTTGTGTGCACGTAAGGTTGAAAAAATGGCATTTCCTTGAAAAACTCAAGTCCAAAATAGAAGTGCGCCATGCAGTGCGCTAAAACAATCGCAATGACTTTGACACCAAGCACACGTGAATAGAGAGAGTAAACAAAAGTTACATCAAATTGTAGTATGTGTCAAATGTAAAGCGAAATTGTCACATGTGCCGATTTCTTTGGATACTGTCTCTTCTCCCGACTCAAGCGCAGTTTGCTTGATTTCACTTACACTTCGACAACATTTCTACCAGAGAGAAGCGAAAAAAAGAGTGGCCGAAAAACAATGCATTTGAATCAAACAATGCAAACAAATATTTCAAAACGCCCGAATTTCAACATATTTCAAATGTATTTACATTTTGCCTCCGCACTCACTGCAAATAAAAACCCAACAATTGTATTCGATGTACCGGTGAGCGTTTGCCACTTTTGCTTGTCTCCGTTTTGTGTATGTGTGTGTTGTGCATTCGGTTTGTTGCTTGGCGCTTTACAGAACGCGAATGATCAAATGGCACATGCTGCGAAATTTGATATTTTCAAACAAATCGCTTCCTTTTACATTCGGTTTCCCTTGTTTCCATCCTTGTGTTCATTTTCTCTCGAATTGTTCATTTACCTTCACTTAAAATACTTTTCATGTTTTCGTTGCGTACATTTCCGAAAGGACGTTCGTGTCCTATCAAAATATTTGCTCGAACCGATTCTGTGTTGAGCCATCATTGCTGGTCAACTTTTGATTGCAGTTTGATCTTAAGAACGTCAATTTCATATTGATTTGACCTAAATTGCACAAATCAATACGCCATCGAAATTCATTGGCTAACGTAAAACCGTTTCGTAACATTTTGTCAATGTTATCGTATGTTCCGTATGCAAAGAATTCACGTACTCACTCACAAAATCAAAGGCAATTCAATAAAAAGAAGAAGAAGAAAAACCAACCGAATGGCCTCTGAAGTACGCGTGACAATGCACAAAAACGTGTAAATCGAAAATTCCAGCTTTCTCAATTGCCGCCACCGCCACAGATCGTCCAATCTTCTATCGAAACCGCTGTCCAAAGAACAAAGCGCGCCGCCAAAATGACGACAAATGATATTTAATAGATCACGATCGCCAGTGAATTTATCGGTATGCGTCGGTGCGACAATTCATTTGCTTGGTAATTGCTCATTTTTTCCGCACTTTTTATGCCGAATTTTTGCCGTAATTAATGTTTTTTTCTTCTCTTCGACTTGAACTGGAGCGAGAGAAAGAGAGAGGAGGAAAGAGAAGCGTAGAATCGTAACGCTGAACATATGTGTTGATAAATCAATTTCATTTAATCGTTCCGGTAGCAAATAAGACTGAAGAGATAGAGGCCCCGTTGGAGATGTGAGATTCGTGTTGCGCAGCTCTCGTGCTCTCTTCTTGCCCATTGGAGAGTTGTAAACATGAAATACCACATTCAGCCAAAGTACACGTATTGCAGTGCAATTACCGGAATGCGCACCTCTGTCATGTTTCAAGTGATAGCAATTATTATGGTTTGTGGTGCATTTTTTTTATTTTGAAAGCTTACAACGCGGCGCGACGAAACCACGGTTTCAAGAAGTTTCATTTGTTTGCATCGGAAAGCAGAGCGACTTCAATGAGTTTGGCAAAAATATGAAACGTAAAGAAAATCAACGAAATTCCGCCGTCGAATCGAAACGATGTTCCGTGGCAAAAAATTATGAGCTCAATGCTTTTATGTAATGCGTTTTTCTCGTCGTATTTTTGATGAAACAAAGTGAAATTTTTTAATTTCATCTGCCAATATTTGTGCCAATTAATCAATATTCAGTGGGCTTCGAAGAGCATAATCAATCAAAAAGGCATTATGTGGTGTCGAATGACCACATTAAATTGATATTGAAGCAAGACCGACTGACGACAGTTTCCAATAAGTGTTCGACGTTTTTCGTTCGTTTTCATTATTGATTTTATAATTTTAACATTGAAAGCGACACTATTAAGCATTAAAAGGCTCTCTTTTGATTATTACCGGATTTCAACTGCACAATTCATAATGAGAAATAAGTGTTTCGTCTTGTCGCCAGCAACAACATTGTCATTTTGAAAAGTTGATTTAATCGACAGGATTTTGGTAAACGAATGCACTGTGTGTGTGCATGCGCGCGCGCATCGGTGTCTTAATTAGCCGAAAAAAATATCACTTTTCACACAATTATACCCGATATTTCACCCGCAGCTATGAAAATGTCACCAACAATCATTGATCATTATATTTGTTGTATGCATTCGTACAGTTGCGCGCACACTCCGGCACGCTCAATCTCTACACCGCCTGTCACACAGTGCAATTGTTTTTTGCCTTTCGGCTCTTTCGCTTCCAAATGCACACAAAAGCAGGGAAAAAAGGAACGAATACAGGATACAAAAAGAAAATGACAATCGAACACGGCAATCAAACGACATGCACAATACACACCACTCAGTCCGGCCATTCAACATACGAAATCGATTACCTCAATAAGTTCTTACGAGCCGTTTAAGTAATAATTACTGCGCACGAAATGACATATTTGTACGTTTCGTTTGATTCAATTCGGATACATGTCAGTTATAAGAATCGTTGCTGTTGTTGCTGCTGCTACCGCTGATCGATGTTTCAGCAGTTTCAGCGGCTGAATGATGATCGAAGCCAATGAACGGTAACACGCGTGATTCCGCTAAGAGGCGTGTACAATGTGCACACTCAACATTGTATCGTTACATAATATTTTTCTTCTAATTGAAATTATTACTGATCAGAGGTATAGAGAGAGAGAGAGAGAGAGAGAGAGAGAGAAAAAGGAAAATTACATCATAACCATAGAACCGTTCATTTTTCGGCACTTTCAAGAGAGAAAATTACGAATATTTGACATTTTCTACCTTTGAAAAGTATCATCTTTGAATGGAGTGTGTGTGTGCATGTGCATCACTCAAAGATATGCCGACCAATTGTACAGTGACTGTGTGTGAATGGCCGAAAGCAATAACTAACTGCTGTGTACAAGCTGTTGACTTCGACTTAAGCACTGGTGATAAAATATGATAAATATAATTACGTTACTTTTTGTGGCCGCAGGACACATCTTAAACACCCCGAAAAAAAATATCTCAACCGCAAAAAAACAGAGCGCACACATTGCATTTTTAACCATAATGTGACACTTTTGTTAGTGTAGTCAACCCAACAAATTGTCACTTCAACACTTTACCATCAATCATCGGCTTTGATCGATTTCAAACCGAAACTAGATAAAAACAAATGATTGAAAAAGTATTGCAAACAGAAAATTTGAAAGAAAAACGAAAGTGAAAAATTGACAAAAATAAGCAAAGAAGGAGAGGAAAAAAAACTGGTACAAACGACAAAAACATGAAAATGATTTGTCTTCACCCGAAAATTTGCACAAAAGTGTTAATAGTTAATGTAAATCGGCTCACATCCATTGAACACGTGCACAATCAAATCGTTCGTGGAAAAAACATCCGTGTAACAATTTGAAACAGTAAAAACTCTTAACTCTTTGTATGGTGAAGTATTTGTTCAAGTACATCACCATTCAATAGACACTGACCTTTTTTGGGATTTGTTCAAGTACCCATCGGCGAATGCCATTGTGTCATTTCAATGGATCTGTATCAATAGCATCATGTTTGCAATGCACTAACATCCATGACTAAACGAACAAAAAAACACACACACTTTTTTATACCCTTTAACCATCAACAACACAATCGGCAAACTCTTGAAAAGTTACACACATTTTACGTAATTTTTGGTTTTTGATACTTTATTTAAACAATTTACCGAATTTGCTTTGCTTTTGCCAAAAAAAACAGTTGTTGTTTGCTTTTGCCAATGGCTTTTATGGTGATTTTCAAATGAATCGAATTGATCGAATAAATATTTGTCCACATTCAACTCGATCTTTTAGAAATGCGATTGGTTAGGCTTGAATCGATATGAATTGCGAAATACAGAATCCATAACAATGAGAAGATGAACACAATGAAAGGATGAAATGGAGTTAATTGTTGCCTGTTGTTGCATTTGATATCGGCAAATTTGTGGAATTATTCATTCACATTTTTCGAAATGAAAATATGCTGAATAATCCGGAATTTAGGATTGATCATCCGCAAATCGACGTTATTATTTGGAATTTGGTAATTTGATGCGTACCTATCACATGAAATAAAGAGAAAATTGTACAAGCGAATTCAAGTCAACGCATTGTTGCTCCAGATTGTCGTGAATTTGATGAAAATTCAACAGAAAAATAAAGTTAATATCAAACAAAACAGTAAATAACTGTCGATTTAAAGATTTTCAATTCTATTGCGATGAAACCTTATCAAATATGACCTTTTTGTCGAAGCTTATCAGCTGAATCACAAAACTAATGTTTCGAAGAATAGCTCGAAGCTGCTTAAACTTATATTGCGATTTTAAGAGTATGATCGCTGAGATACTCGCTGTTTTGCACAGTTTCAGAGTGAAGATCGCCATAGTAAGTGACAGTCATTGGCTCAAAGCGGCAGCAAAATCAATAATGTCGCTTTAGTTTTGATAATTCAATTGGAAAAATTGCAATACATCCTTATCAAAAATGACCTCTTTGTCAATCGATTAGCTTAATCTCCAGACTTCGATCGTTTGTTTGTAAAAGGCATTCACTGCTTTGCTTGGTATCAGAGTGAGTTTAACAGTTGCAGTGGACAGTACATAGAATACAATAACAAGATGAATCCAAAGATTTTTTTCGCATTTTTGTTATTACTTATCTGTAAAGTAAGCGAATTTCAACCATTGAAAATAAAATAAAATTTCAACATTTCTGTTGTTTTTTTTTTTTAGGTTTATCAGACAGTATCGCAAGTTGTTGATGATAAGGGATTACCAAACGAGCCTCCAGAGGACGATATACGATACGCCCTTAATTGAAAATATGACTGCGATTTCTTTAAATTTATAAATGAGATGTTTCATTTGAAATTTTAATGGAATAAACTAAAAGTCAACGAAATTGTGCACTGTATTCTTCATTGTTGTGGAATTTTCAATTTGGTTAGCTAAGTTGATGTTGGTATTGGGTCAAACCGCGAATAAAATTAGCTAAAAATGATTATTTTATTATTTTACGCTTCAAGTTCAATTCATTTGATAGATCGATTAGGAATGAAGAAATGCAAAATCTAAACTTTTAGATTCATTTCACAAGACATTGTTTCATCTTCCACACTGAGCTAATTTCTTTATAGTATTGAGATATTTAGACAATAAAACAAATTTCCCAATTGCAGTAGACAGTGCATTAGCAAGATTAATTTTAAGCTTTTGTCCACTTTCTTGTTATTACTTGTCTGTCAATTAAGTGTTAATCAAAATCATTGCAATGAAACCTTATCAAATATGACCCATTTGTCAATCGATTAGCTCAACCTCGAAATAATATTAAAAAAAAAATGAATCAAAGTCGTTTATATAATGTTACACTGCAATTTCTAGAATTCGATCATAATTTTCGCTATAAAATGCACTCCATGGTCATGAAAATGGGCCTTTTATATGCTTGATATTGTATTTGTTTTCTTATCGAGTGAAGTAAAGTCTTTTCCGTTTGTTCCAAACAGAAATTTTATTTCCAACTTCAGGCTTAAAGGCGATCTATTGGCTTTCCATAGTACCATAACCGTAATCTCAGATAATCAATTCATCGTTCGCGACGTATTCAATGCTCTGTGATGTTTGTTGTGCAAGAAAAAGGCAAAGCAATAAATTCCCAAGGAAATGATTTATGCGTTCATGTACACTTTGAACCGTGTACGACGGTGTCGCCGACACCGATCCAGAGTGGCTATCACCTTCCACTGCGGCTTTTGATCGAGAGTGGCTTGCTCTCTCCGTCTGTATATGTATTGAATGCGCGTCGATGTGCGATCGATTGAATTGTCAGTTTATGTAGAGAGTTATTTGTAGCGTTTATATCGTAAGTTGTTGCGTTTAAAATTCCTGCGAAAAGAAAAGTGTGTGCACAAAACGTAAATAAATTCTGTCGCAGTCAGCATGCCGGAATACGGTTACGTGAATTGTTTTCAATTGATATTGGTCGTCGTCGTATGGAATGATTATGCGTTTTTTTTAACCTTTCCTTTCCTTTTACAGTATTGACATTGATACCGTGCTGAAGAGGCGTTCGTCTCAATCGTTTTTTTTTTTCATTCAGCCCTGACTTAGGTATGAATTTGAAATCTCCTTGTCAAACAAGTTGTTTGTTTTCGATATTTTTCTCGTGTTATTTTTTTTTTATCTCTTTCTCTCTCGGTCTCTCTGGATAAATTTTTGCTTCTTCGATCGATCTGTGCTGAAGACGCGACCGTATTGCAATTGTTCCATGTGAATTTTCATGAATTTATTTATAGTTTTTTTCTCTGTTTGCATCAAGTGTAAATTTACGTTGAATACGCGCGCACAAATGCCATCATAAAGCTGAACAATATTTACGATAAACATGTATACATTTTTTTACGGCAACTCGAGCCGGTTTTTGGCTGGCCTTTCGACTGTTTTCACCCAAAACACGCATTTTTCACTTTGAAAGACAAGTCACTGCGCTACTATGGTTCTGTCATTTATTTTCACGCATTTGAATTTCTCCTTTGTTCGTTGTCGACCAGTACATACTCCGGCACAACGGCTCAATCACATTTCTTGCGGCACTTTTGGGATAACTGAATGTTGTTGCGAGAGCGTATCGGGACTGACACCGCACGATTTGGATTCGAATTGGAAGTTGGCGACATACCTGACACGTACAAAGCAACCGAACCGATTGAAAGTTTGACAAAGGTGTAAATCACACATAAATTATTTTCGAGTGGAGACACAGCGCGAGAATACGTTTAATGTTGCACTCAACTGTGGAGAGAAAATTTATATGTTTTCGGCGTATTTGTGTGTTCAATGGGAGAATTTATGGGGCCCTTTTCATTGAGCGATAGCAATAGAGAAGAGAACGGGCACGAATCGAATGACACAATGAACTCTCGTGACAGCAAAAAGTAAATCGATCACATTTCGCACAGGGCGAAAATGGCAACTGGAAGTTGGTGTGCTTGATCGGCGGTGCGCTACTTCGAAAACATGCAACGGCCAGCCGGTGAAAAAGAACAACAACATCGGATCAAATTTGCCAAATGTACGCAATATTTTGAGATAATATTCACTTAATTACAGTTTGTGATCCGTATCCACGAGCGACATGTTACCATCGGACCAAACCAAAAATCGCTCTAAAATGATCTGGTTTATTCGGTTTTTTTTTTTTGGGAAAAAAAACAAGCATCGTATGCCACCGCGTTCGTGCATTTGAAACGGTTTTCATTCTGAGCTTGGTCTGCAAGGCATTGGCCAATGTCACGTATTGCCCGCAAAACATCTCTCAGTGTCAGAGCACAAGAGTTGCACTCGTTCCTCCATCGATGTCAAGTGAAAGATATTTTCGCAGTAGCGAGAACTATTTTTCCATTAAGAGATTTAAAAGCTGGTGATTTTCTTTCCAAGAAGGAAACTACAAATATCGGCGAATGGAGAGGAATGCAAAACACGTGATGGCATTAATTTACCGTACGGTTTAGCTGCTTTTTTTTCTTTGAAAAAAAAAACACGTAAATACCGTTTTGCCAAACTCTTAAGATGTCTTCGTTTTTCTGGCAGATTTCAACTTGGAGCTTCAAAAGTGCGCTTGGCCTGCGCTAACATCGATTAATTTCGCATGTGCGTGACCACAAAAAGGGGCAATCCGTATGGATTTACGGACGTCGGATGTCTAACATTCATCTAAACGGCTCAACCGTCAATCTTCACATCAAATTCGTGTGCTCCGTTTGACTGAAGCGGACAGGCGACGTTTGCGTTCATTGTATCTAAAGAGGTTGTCAAATACTCGGTGCTTGTCAATAAATCCACAATCAATTACAATGTAGATAATTGCTTCATTTTTAAATCATGACATCAAAAAACGTCGCCCGTCAAAACACTCGTTTAAACGTTACAAGTTCTAATTTCGTGCATGTAGTACAGTTGATAATTAGAGGCGATTGGCAAGTAAAACCCAAAATTTAAACAACGTGAATCAAGTTGGCAAGCATTTTCAGATTTCTCTTTTTAAATTCAATTTTATATTTTCCTTGTGTGCGCAAATTGGATTTTCATAATTCTCAAAAAATGGACTCTTACACCTTCGAAATGATCGTCCGGAAAAAAAAAATGTAAATTTCTTCATTTCATTTCCGATCAAATGCAACTTTTTCTCATATTCTCGCTCACTTTAGCGGCACCACTTAAAGGCTGTTAACTGGATTTTAATCCGAACATTTGCTCATACAGATTATTGAAAACGTTTAACGAAACCAACCGAAAAAGAAGCAACTAGTGTTTTGCCGTGGCCATTGCATTTCTTTATCAACGGGAGCAAAGATCGTGTTGCGCTCATGTTTTTTGCTCAAAAGATTACGTATGCAAAAAAAAAGGTGACCAAACAAATTGAAAGTGTGAAATCGCTGCACCGATTCAATCGATACGAATGGTGTGAATGAGATGGTGTATTTTAACGCGCGAACGATAACGTAAACATACTGAATTTATGATATGGAATTTGCTGATTGTCAATTCAATAATCAACATTGAAATGTGTCATTTGTACGCACCGCAATCCAAAGCGGGACGAAACCAAATTAATTTTAATATCATTAGCTGCTTGAGAATGTCAGATCGTTCTTTTTTTTTTTGCTTAACTGTTTATGTACGCAAACCCATTTGCAATATCAATTGGAACATCTTCTTGAACGTGCGCACGGCGGACGGTCGCTCGGCGACGCAGTTGCACTTAATACGTGTCGCGGATTATTGAGTGTGAGAAATGCACGCAAAATTCACACGTTTTTCGCACCAAAAATCACGTTATACTCATGAATATTCATGAGATGATTCTTTCCACACTCACTTCAATAGCGGCTCAAGTCTATTTGATGCCAGCAGGTATAACATGGATGCGCTGTGTATCGTGTTCGAATGATGATGATGATGATGCCCAAGCAAAGTGAGTGCCGATAATGGCCCAATATATTCAAGATATCGAGTCTTTGCACACATCGTTTGTATCGCGAGAGCACGGCAGATTTTCATTAAGTAGACTTTATTTAAAGCGAAAAGACAAACAAAAACGATTAACTGCAATTGATTTTGCTCCGCTTTTTTACTCTCTCTCTCTCTCTCTCTCTCTTCATTCCGTACACCGAATACGATCTCGCCGTAGACTTTCGGAAAAAATTAATAAGCATTCTGTCGAAAAAGAAAAAAATGCGTATTAAAATCATACCGTAAACTTTTGAACTCATTTGAAAATCCATTTCATACACTGAATTAAAAAAATTTCTTGGGTTTTCTTACCAATCCAGATTACTTTCAAATGTGATTAAATCCGAAATCATCGAAAATTACGCGATTAACAACAACATTTTCGCTCGAAAGAATAATCACCAAGCATCCTCGCTAACGAAACATTTGCTCTCTACCATTCGGTTCCGTTACAATATTTTTTCGAAAGCTGTTCCATTTTGGACTTGAGAAAATCAACACAGACAGAATTTCTGAGTGATTTTTTGACAGAAAAAAGCGTCGGGGCAAAAAAAAAATGAAAGACAAATAAAAAAAAAAACTAAAATCATTCGTAGATCCGAAATAAAATTGGAAAAAAGACAAAGTCAAGTATAGAGCTCAAACCATTTTTTTTTTTCGTAAAAATCAAGATAATTTTTATGGAATTTTAGAAGAAGCTATATAAATCCATATCAAAGTTTTTTTTTCTCTTCAACAACAAAACGATCGTAATTCTCAGTTCGACGCAAGATAGAAAAAAATTGAGTACATTGGCTCTGATCCTAATTCTATGTTCGATATCATTTATAGATTAATATTTTATTGACGTTCAACTTTGTGAATCATAACGCTCGCTCGATTTGATGT